GAAACTCTGCTTTAAAATATGCTGCAGGGCTCCGTGACCGACAGCCAGGTCCTGTGCTAGAGCCCCAGTCCTCCACCCCTGCCCAGCCAGCCGGCTCAAGGGCTGCCCAGGGCACCCTGCCTCCCTCTCCCTCCCCGCCTCGTCCCTCTGGTGTGAGGCGGGACAGAGCCTGAGCGGCTTCTCCCCGGTTGCTTGCAAAGTTGGCCAAAGCTGGTGTAAACTGCACTTGATGTATGCGAATGAAACTGCTTTAAAATATGCTGCAGGGCTCCGTGACCGACAGCCAGGTCCTGTGCTAGAGCCCCAGTCCTCCACCCCTGCCCAGCCAGCCGGCTCAAGGGCTGCCCAGGGCACCCTGCCTCCCTCTCCCTCCCCCAGCCTCGTCCCTGAAACGCATGTCCCTGGCCAGGTCTGCGTCCCTGGAGCAGGCGCCCCGTGGGGTCCTCCTCCCGACACGGTGGCCCCGGTTTGGGGAGATCTGCAGTGGGGACGGGGTGGCTGCATCGGCACAGATCCCCCAGCTTCTCGGAGTCGTGTGCACTTCCAGCGGCCCTGTGCTGTCCTCCAGGGCCCCTCTCTCCGCAGCAGGACTTTCCCTTGTCACACACGACGGGCGGAGTCACCACTCAATGTCCAATTTTCCCAGGTGTGGCCCAGTCTCCTGGGTACTTGGGATTCTCCTCCTACTTCCTGCCAGCCAGGACTCAGAGGACGTGAGCTTCAGAATTCGGGAGATAGCAGCCTCCTCCTGCCTGGTGCCTGCTGTCCGCCAGTCAGCGTGGCCTGATGTCTAATAAGTGTGCACATGTGTACACACGTGCGACAGGCCCAGTGAGGCTAAGGAAATGTTGTTCATCAGAATTCGACGCCTTCTGAAGAACCCTGCAACTTTGCTGTGCTCTGCACAATTGACTCGAAACCAATTTGGCAGGGCATTTTAGGAGGCTCTCGTGGACACGGGAGGACTGCGAACTCTGCAGAAAATGACATAAGAGGGTATGGAGATTCTCCAGGGCTTAACCCTAGTGTCCCACCCAAAACACGGCTCCGGAAAAGCTGGTCGCATCTGTAAGGAACCAACAGAAATTGTAAGGGATGCAGACAGAGAAACCCAGCTAACCGGAGGCAGGGAGTCTTTTATTATTGCAAGATGAATATTTAAGTTACAAACTAAATACTTGTGCCTGAATAGTTACTAGCTATTCAGGAAAAAATTTTAAAAGTCTGGGCCGGGGATTTAACTCAGTGGTGCTGCTGCCTGCTTTGCAAGTGCAAATTCCCAAGTTCGATCGCCGGCACCAAAAAATAAAACAAAACAAAATAAAAAAAAGTCTCATGCGGCTTTGGGGCGACTTCTAGCCCAAACGCAGCCAGATGATTGAACAGCTATGGCATTCGCTTGAGGAGAAAGAAATGCAGAGAGGCATTTGGCAGGGATGTCAGCCAGGGCAGGAGAGAGAGCCGGCGCCCCGTGGAGTCTGGAGCCGAGTGAGAGCCTGGGGGTGCTGGCTGGAGGGGCCCGCTGCCCCTCACTTGGTGCCTTCTTGTCCTCTGCCCACCCCTGCTTTCTTCACTCTCTCACCTGGGTTTGATCCAGGGACACAGAGCGCAGGCCTTCATCTCCAATCCTTGTTTCCTTTTTCCCTAGCCGGAGTTCTGGGACAGCTCTGGGCCTGGAAACTATGGAAAATGGGTGAGCTGGGTGTGGTGGCACATGCTGTAATCCCAGCACTTGGGAGGCTGAGGCAGGAGGATTGCCATGAGCTCGAGGCCAATTTGGGCTACATTGTGAGGCCCTATCTCAAGTAACATGAACCAGCAACCACAAAACCAGGCCCTTCGGGAATAAGTGAAGTCCTATGAGCATGGGAAATGTGTCTGACTTATTTACCACTTCATCTCAGTGCCCAGCCTGGTAACCACCCTGCAGTAGCTGCTCCACTAACATTTGTGGAATATTTATTCACAACCTGTATGGGGCCATTTTCTGTTGCTGTAACAAATGCTGATGCTAGATAATTGATAGAGAAGAGGTTCATTCAGCTCAGGTTTGGAGGTTAAATGTCCAACATCGGGCAAGCCCATCAGCTCAGCCCTGGTGAGGGCCTTCTGGCCACATCACAACGTGGCAGGTGACACCATGGTGGAGCACGCAGGGGAGGAACGAGCAGCCACAGGACAAGCAGTGTGTGGGAAGCCCCAGTGGGGCTGTGCGACGGACGACTTGCTGTCGCAGGAACTACCTGGGGTCCCAAGAGGACGCCACTGGCCCCTCTGAGGGTGACGTCCTGTGTCCAACCACACCCCCCGAGCCCCACCTCTGGGAGGTTCTGCCACCCAGCACTGCCACCCCGGGGACCACGGTTCCAGCGCACAGGGCTTCGGGTGACGCTCCCGGAGGGCACCCAGGACGATGTCGGGGATCCCTACTTCCGTGCACGTGTGTCTTGTGCCTCATCACAGATTCCTGGGGCTGGAGGGGTCCACCAGGTAAGACCCCCGAAAGACTGTCCTTGACCGAGTGCCATCTTGTGTCCCTTGTGTCCCCTGCAGAGCCTCCTATCCAACATGTCTGGGGACTACAGCTACGACTCCACATCCCCTGTGGACGATTACATGACCTTCAACCTCACCGACCTCTTCTGCAAGAAAACCAACGTCAGGCAGTTTGCCAGCCACTTCCTCCCGCCCCTGTACTGGCTCGTGTTCGTCGTGGGCACCGTGGGCAACAGCCTGGTTGTCCTTGTGTACTGGTACTGCGCGAGAGTGAAGACCATGACCGACACGTTCCTCCTGAACCTGGCGGTCGCTGACCTGCTCTTCCTGGCCACCCTGCCCTTCTGGGCCATCGCCGCGGCCGACCAGTGGAAGTTCCACACCTTCATGTGCAAGGCGGTCAACGGGCTGTTCCGGATGAACTTCTACAGCTGCGCGCTGCTGCTTGTGTGCATCAGTGTGGACAGGTACATCGCCATCGCGCAGGCCATGAAGGCCCAGATCTGGAGGCGGAAACGCCTCGTGTACAGCAAGACGGTCTGCTGTGCCGTGTGGGCGCTGGCCGCGGCGCTCTGCATCCCGGAAATCCTGTACAGCCAAGTCAAGAGGGAGTCTGGCGCGGCCGCCTGCACCATGGTGTACCCCAGGGATGACAGCGCCAGGGTGAAGTTCGCGGTCTTGACCCTGAAGGTCATCCTGGGGTTCTTCCTGCCCTTCCTGGTCATGGCCTTCTGCTACGCCATCATCATCCACACCCTGAAGCGGGCCAAGAGGTCGTCCAAGCACAAGGCCCTGAAGGTGACCACCGCCGTCCTCACCGCCTTCGTCCTGTCTCAGGCCCCCTACAGCTGCGTCCTGCTGCTGCGCACCGCAGACGCCTACGCCGCGTTCATCTCCAGCTGCGCCGTCTCCATCAACGTCGACATCTGTCTCCAGGTCACTCAGACCCTTGCTTTCCTCCACAGCTGCCTGAACCCCGTTCTCTATGTTTTCGTCGGGGAGCGGTTCCGCCGGGATCTGGTGAAAACCCTGAGGAACTTGGGGTGCATCAGCCAGGCCCAGTGGGTCTCCTACACGAGGCGGCAGGGAAGCCTGAAGCTGTCGTCCATGTTGCTGGAGACGACGTCGGGGGCGCTGTCCCTGTGAGGGAGGCCACGTCCTCTGGCAGTGCTGGGACAGGCAGGTCCCGCGTCCCCCACGGAGGGACCGGTAGGAACAAAGAGGGTAGGGACGAAGTGAGGGGGAAACGCAGAAAGGGGTGACTCTGGAGAGCACCGTCACGTTCAGCCTTAACTTGCCAAACCAGAGTTGCTCTGGAGGCCGCACTTTCCGGAGGACAGAGCAGCAGCCGCGAGGCCTGAGGCCGCACTGCCCAAGCATGCACACCGCCGGCGGGAAGCAGCCTCGGGGGTCTCGGGGCTCTGGGAGTTGTCCCGGCTTCAGAGCTGGTGCTGCTTCTCTCTCGAGGGGACCAAGAAGCAGTCGCGACAGCAGAGCCTTACTGGACGCGTCCGCCCCGGACGTTGTTTCCCTCCCGGGTTCGAGTCTGAGCCCAGCCAGCTCCCACAGATGCTCCCCCTAGAAGCTGTCCGAACAACACCAGGTCCCTTTCCTCTGGCGCCTTTGGTCCTTGAAGGTCTTTCCTACTCTTCAGAAGCCAAGTGCAGGACCAGTCAGGGAGCCGGTGGACAACGGACCCCACCAGCAAGCCACAGTCTGGGCTCCCACTGCACCTCCGGTCCTGCTGATCTGGCCAAGGACTCAGCTTGGCCGCTGGTGCCTGAGCAGGTGCCGCTACGCGACCAGACCGCCCCGCCTGTGCCCGAGAAGCGGGGTTGGCTCTGTTGCTCTCGTCCGAGGCTGCCGGCGGGAGGCCTGCCATGTGCTTCTTTTCTTCCTCCACACTGCCTGCTTTTTGTTAGCTTTTCACTCTAGGCATTAGGCTGAAAAAAACATGTACTATAGCTGACTTTTGCGCTGTGTCTTTGTTTTAACTATTTGGCAAATTTATCACATTGGAAAACACTTCAGACATTGCAAGCACGCTTTTTAATGTATATTTTAAAACATTCATTGCTTGCTCCTTTCTTTGCCCTTAGTATTTTTTAAGTGGATGTGATTAAGAGATCAAATAGACAAATCATGAATGGGAAGAGCAAGAGAAGGGGTTAAGGAAATAAAACCTCCAATAAAACTATCTTGGCTGAACAGCTTTTTTTTTTTTTTTTTAAATCTTTTCTCTGGACAAATTTACTTCTTAAGTTATCCTCAATTAGTCAAATGGGATTTCAGTCAGGCAGTTGGAACAGTGCATAAACCCCCAGGCTTTTCTGCTTTCGTCAGCGGAAGTGTCCAGTTTCTCCAGGGCACAGAGGATTGTGGGGTGGTGTGGGGTGTGTTTGTCTCAGTCCTGACGCTGTCTCTGCCCAAAGGGAACACAAAAGCGCCGGCCCCTGATGTCAGCCTTCTTCTCCCTGCCACGCCTAAAACACAGACCAGGACCAGGGAGGACCAAGGGGCAACATGGGGGCTCATGAACCCAACACCATGGGTGGCTGACACAGCAGTGGGTGGTAGGAAAGGCAGGTCCGGGAGCAGCACACCAGGTGGGCCCAGTACAACAGACCAAGTCTGTTGTCAGAGGGAGGACACCATCCCCATGTCATAGGATCACCCACGTGATTGTCATCTCTAAGAGAAGACCCAGGGTCTGCCCTCCCGAGAACTCGGAAAAATAAAGAAACGTGGTCAGGTGGACGGGCACAGTGGAGCTCGGCTTTGCCCTTCCAAGCCCCTGTGACACCGTGGTCCTAGCATCCCATCTCAGGCCCAGTGGGGCTGAGGTGGGGGGTGGATGAAAGAGGAACAGGGGAACCAATCCTGAGCACTGTGATGCAGACAGCACGAGTGTCAAGGGCAATGACATTCTGGACAAGGTCCTTTACTTTAATTAGAAAAAGTGCCGGGGACTCCATTCCCCCTGTGGTTCTTAAGAACAGAAATGAGGGGACGCCACAAGAACTGGCGGTGCTGCACTGCACCCCAGTGCCCAGGAAACACACCCACTCACAAGAACTTCTAGCACCCGCTGTCACTGCTGGACGTCCCAGTCCCAACACACATGGACGTGGGGTCAGGGACGGCTGCAACTCTCGCGTTTTAAAGATCTGAGCTATCCTTTGTTGGTAAAGTGTTTGCTTTTCAAATGATTACCTAAACATGACAGATAAAAATGGTAGCATTAATTAGAATTTTACTTTTAAATTAAACTCAATTTCAGTAACAGGTTAATGGCGATAATGAAAATGTTGAAAGAGTCGACAGGCGGATCTGCGAGGAGCTAGATTCCCGCTCCACACTCCTCGGAAGGAGACCGTGTGAATACTTCTGACCTGAAGACAAAGGAGGCCCTTAATAAATAACTACGTTTTACTTCACCCCTGTATATGAAAGTTCAGAAATGAAATACGACATGTTTTTGTCATTTTGTCATGTTTTTGTCATTAACAAGTTGGCTTTTTAAATGAGACTTAAACTAAAGCAACTTTAAGTCAATATATCACATCACACATGTAGTCAGCTTGAGGTAGTCAGCTTAGTTGGTAAGATTTGATCTGTCTGGACAGTCACACATGCAGAATATCCA